ATCATTTGTTACTTGTCTTTCTCCACCTGGCTTATTTCACTGAGCATAATACCCTCCAGCTCCATCCATGCTGTTGCAAATGGTAGGATTTGTTTTCTTCTTATGGCTGAATAATATTCCATTGTGTATATGTACCACATCTTCTTTATCCACTCACCTACTGATGGACACTTAGGTTGCTTCCATTTCTTGGCTATTGTAAATAGTGCTGCGATAAACAGAAGGGTGCATCTGTCTTTTCTAAATTGGGCTGCTGCATTCTTAGGGTAAATTCCTAGGAGTGGGATTCCTGGGTCAAATGGTATTTCTATTTTGAGCTTTTTGAGGAACCTCCATACTGCTTTCCACAATGGTTGAACTAATTTACAGTCCCACCAGCATACAGTTGGTTTTTAAAATGGTGGCAAGTCCCTCCCTGAATCTTAGATCAGTCAGTTGACATGTTGATTGACAGGCCCAAGTTATATAACCTTCTTCCTAGTGCACAGGTGCTTACCCGTAAGTACCCAAGCAAAACCCATGGGGCCTGGGGCAGGAGGCAGGCTGAAACTACGATGTAAATTTATTATAATTATGGTATAATAAACTGGAGGTGGCTCTGGGTCACCTTTTGGGTCTTCGTGTGTCTGCAGCCAACCTGTGCTGGTGGTGTGGAAGCCCCACTGGGCTTTTTACAGCTTGTTTGGCCCTGATAAGGCAGGAGACTGAACCATAAGCAGGAGGGGTTCGGGGAGCATTCTGCCATCTGGTGACAAGGGAGGGTGTGGAGAAGGGGAGTACCTTGTCCAGGACAGGGTGGAACCTGCTCATGTCTGCCTAGCTACCTGACAGTACCATCTATATATTTATGTAACTAACACAGGCCATCTGTCACTTACTCAGATATGGTTCAAAGCAAGAGTAAAGAACCCTAGATGAGAATAGGTTCAGTGTTTAGAAGGAATGGCTATTTTTTTTTTTTTAGTCTCTGTAATGTGAACTACCTCCCTAGGAATAGCGGTAAAGCACATACATCCCTTCCATTTAAGCCTGAAGAGACAAAAGAGATAATCTTGTCATTGAATCCACTCAATTTGCCAAATTTTTTCTCCCAGGTCAAGGATGTGCTGTTGAATAACAAGAAATTGACTGAAATTACTTGACTATTATTGGTGTCCCTTGAAACAGACCAAATGAGCTCACAATTCTCTTCCTCTGGTTAAATCTATTCTTCCCAGATTAGGAGTCCTGGGGAGGAGCTCACACTCAATGTTCAAACTCTCTTTGAGTGGGTCCTTCTGGAATTCTCTGAAAGGTGAGGTGCATTTGGAGCAGCACTACAGGAAGGTAGTGGGGTTTATACTTAGTGGAAAGAGGGAATTTATGTTCTAAATTTCAACTTTAACAGTGTCCAGCTATGCCTTTTGTCTCTTGACCTCTCTAGGCTTCAGTTTATTCATCCGTAAGGGGAGGTTGGGGCAGATTACCCCGGGGTGGGAGAGGGTAGGGCTCCTCCAGTGCGGGAGCTTCCTGTGCCCTAGGCAAGGCCCCAGGAGCTGTCCTCTGGTCCTCGGGAGCTGCCCAGAGCTAATTAACACACCCAGCTCTTGGGCAGGCCAGGGCTCTGAGTACAGAGTAGTTCATAATCCTGTATTTGTGAGGGTACTTTTGACTAGGCCTTCACTTAAACTGTTCACCACTAATATGGGGCCCAATTTTGGAGCATTAACTTACAGCGAATGGCCTTACTCTCTACACCTCTCCCTCCTGGAGAATCTGCTATCTTCCATTGGCTTTTCGGACCTACCCTCTATAGGGCCTTCTGAGATAGGGAAAGAAAACCAGGCTTTGCAGCTGCAAAACCAAGGCTTTTTGAATGAGAAATTGTTCCCAGCTGTGTGTGTTTACTAGGTTAAACAGCTCAGCCTCTTCTAGCTTCGCATGTAATGATCTTGGCTGTATGAGCTGGTGTATTTGTCTGCACTGCAGCGTGACTCTTAAATTCACATGAATGATTGCCTTTCTTGTAAATTCCAAGCATATTTTTATTCAGTCCCCTAGTATTCTACTGAGCAAAGTGCAGGGCGTCTCTTTCCTGCTCTGTGCAGAAGTGAAGAGTTCCTTGACCTGCTCTGCTATTAGCTCACTGGTAATGGAGTGACCATCTCATCCTGGTTGGCCTGGGATTGTCCTGGTTTGAAAACTGAAAATCCTGCATTACAGAACCCCTCGCAGCCCTGAGCATCCTACGGTGGTGCTTACAGAGGCTGCTTGGAGTCCAAGAACTTGGAGGAGGAAGGAAGCAAACTGGAGACAAAATGTTAATCCTCACAGAAAAGCAGCTGTAGGGGGAAACCAGGTGGCCGCGTGGTGCCATCATGGAAGTCGTGAGCTCCCCTGCTCACCTCCCCCTGGGGCTCAGGCAAAGCTGTGACCCTATCCTGTGGAGGGAGTACGTCAGGGACCTGGCTGAAAAACTACCTACCAGTAGGCTTTCTAGCAATATTCACTCTATTTTTGTTAGGAGACCCTGGCTGATTAAAACCAACAACATAATGTGCTATAGAAAGGAAAATCTGTATGAATCCCTACCCTAAAAGCATCTTTCCTGGCTGTCACAGAACAGGCCCAAGCAGCAGTGGGCACAGACCTTCCTGGTGACACACGGCGAGAGGCTTGGCATTTCACTGCCAACAGCGTTCTGTTCTCGAAGCAGTCAGTTTCTTGGAAGTTAGTGGATTCCAATCATGGGACAGGAAAAATACCAGGCTGGCTTTACAGGACAAAAAAAACAACAAAAACAAAAAAAATCAGCCTTTTGTTGCTGTGGCCTGATAACAAGGAGCTTTCAAGAATATCCGAGCTGTGCTTGAAGGAGTTTCAACTAGCCCAGCTGCCAAAATGTGAACATCGAATGATGGAAACAATTATGGCAAATTGAGACAAGGTGAGTCTATAGGCTGAGTTCATAATCACACTTTAAAGCAATAAGTGTATAAAAATGTAGTTATAACACAAAAGAAAGGTGAATGTAAGATGTAAGAAGAATATGTAGGTATTCATTTAAAAAATATTCATTATATGTCTGTTTTAAAGTATTGATTTGTGTTTGTTTCTCTTAGCACAAGCAGGAGAGACTAAACAAAGGGACCTGTGAGTCAGCCAAGCTGTCCCTGAAAAGGTAGGATCTGTTCTAAGAACAGAAGGACTTAACAGCATCTGTGCTCATGTTCAGTGACCCGGTAGGCAGTGGGTGGGTGAATAGATGGGCCCCACATTGTGTCTATGCTTATGAATTATCCAGGATCCTAAGGAAGAGAGGTAATCTTTCATTTCTGTAGAGGTGAAATCTCAGGATGGACCCACCAATGGGAATAGACTTCTACTAAAGAGGGCATTCATGTTCTAATAATGCTAACAGACCAGGCGGATATATGAAAATCATGCAGCAAAACACTACTAATACATCGGGTCATGCAAATGTCTTTCCTTATTTCTAGGAAACAAGTCACACAAAAATGAAAATCTGCCTGAAAGTCAGGGAGATAACAGTGTTGTGTTATGATAAGAGGATTGTATTAGTTACATATTGCCTCAAATCTTAGTGGAAGGGGAGAAAGAAAAAGAAAACCAAATGTCAGGTCAGGTGACAGGGGCTGACACCTAGGAATATTGACCCCCAAAGATTAAATCAAGAAATAAGGGAGGTTGAGACCTCCAAATATCTAAGGTGGGAGGGGATAATGGCCCCCAGGTACAAGGACTTTCTAAAGCTCCCCAGGAGATAGTATTGTGCACCTGGGGTTGAGAAGCACTATTCTGGAGTATCACCTGCCAATCTGATTTGATGTTAGTCACAAAAATTTACTTTAGCCAAAGTAAAAACATACTAAAATTTAGTCACAGTGGCTAGTGGTGGTAGGAGGGGTGTTACTAACATTTATTGAGCACTAGTTATGAATCAGGTTCATGCTAGGAATTTTACATGATTTCCACTTACTCCTCTTGACAGCCCTGGAAAGCAGATCATTAGTACTACCACTTTTTACAGAGAAGGAAACAGACTAGAGAGATTTAGTGAGTCACACTGTCTTAAGCAAAGCTTGTTTCTTACACCATATCAAGCTAAGTATCAACTGAATTCCCAAAGAGAAAACAGTATTAAAGATAAAGTAGGTAAATGATAAAAGGGCTAGTTTGGTAGCTTTAAACCTGAGCTCTAGGTGGACTGAAAAAGAGCACTACTGACAATATTACTGAACTGCATAGAGTTTGGTCATGAAGAGCAACAGCTAGCGCTGGGCTGCAGAAGACAGGGTGTGGGGCAGGGGTTCCACAGGGCAGCAGGAATTGGTGCAGGACAAGGGAGGAGGGCGGGCTGGTTCCCAAGGCTGGGATGTAAATATGGAGCCGTTTCCCTTTCTTTGCCCCCTGGTGGCAGTGCAGAGGAACCCTGGCACATCAGTGAGGGGCAAGATGGGAGCTGTGGGAACACGATGTCTTGGCTCTGGTTAGCTCCTACTGGGTGTTGAGTAACTTTGCGTGACAGGAGCTGAGAGGCTGGGAAGAGGAGGCCAGGGAGGAAGGGTCAGGAATGCAGATGTCAGAGACGGGGGAGGCCAGGCCAGTGAGGACAAGGATGATCCATGAAGCACCTCAGCTGCTGCCACAGAGGCAAACAGACCATTTCAAGATGGGCAGAAACTGAGTGTCTGCTGGCTTGGGGTTGTCATTGACAGCAAATACTAGAAAACATTTTAAAGCAAATGTGCACAAGCCTACACACCCATGCACACACATTCATTTCTAAATACAAACTGAACTTTTTTCCTACAAAGGCAAAATGCCATTTTCTATTCTCTTGGAGAGTGAAACATTAGGGTTCCCTTTCCACGGAGCTGGGTGTTCCCCTTGGAGTGCAAAGCAGTCGAACATGATAAGTCTGTGCTAGCTTTTCCTTTTCTGAACATTTGGTTATCAGGCTTCACTTAGAGGGACTCCCGTGGCTTTTTCTCTCCTCATGTGGCTTCAAGACGACGTCCCTTGGAGCCATTTCTCCACTCTGGTAATTTACAGGGTGGCTTGTGCTACCCTGGGAAATGACATGAGAAAGACTTCAAGCACCACTGGTGCCTGAGGAATGGCTGAGGTCAGGAGCCAAAACCAACTTGGAAGGAAGGCCGTGGTGCCAGGAACCAAGTGAAAACGAATGAAAGCAAACCAGCCACAAAATCACCCTCTCAGGTCCTGCATGGTGCCTCGGATGCCCTGGAATAGTGGCTCTGGCTTCCAAAACAGAAACCCTTCACCCAGCAGGGACTCCCTGCGTCAGAGGCTGCAAGGTGCTCTTTGCAACCACAAGACAAAAGAATATGAGGTCATTGTTGGAAGTTTAAACCTGGGACCAGAAGGCCCTGCTTTGGTGATACTGGCCTTGGGACCCCTTGGCCAGATCTTGCTACCACCTCCTGTTGCCAAAGCTGTTCCCAAGCACCATTAATTAAAGCATTAATCTCAAATGAATGGTGGTTGACGAGGACCCTAGCTCTGCAGGAAAGCACTCTAGGATCCAAAGGTGAGGAAATAGGGGTGGGTGTGAATTAAAGAGACAGAAAATATATTTGGGTTCTGGTGTCTGGGGCGGTCCTTGGCCCCAGATCTAAGGTCTGTGGAACTGTCACCTGTACTGGGTGGAGAACTCTCTCCCCATATGGAAGCTTTAACAAGTTCATCCTGGATATAGCTGTGAATCAGCCACTTGGTGGTTCTCTCCCATGTGCCTTGTCATAGTACCCATCTGGGACAAAGAACCCAGGTGGGTGTCATACAGGCCAGTTCTTTCTATCCAGAAAGCAAACCAAAGCTATTTTGATTCAGGATGAACATTGGGCATAGCCCTTCCTCAAGATCTGCCTTTGCCTGTGCTGTACTGAGAATATCCACTGTGCATTCATTTCATTTGTCCCAGGATGGAATAGTCCCTCCTCTTGGTCCATGGCCTCTCCACTGGGGAGCAGATGGCCGATCAGCAGCAGGCACGTCGAACCACAGGGAACTGCCCTTTTGTAGATTAATGGTTATAAAAAGCCATTGAAAATTGCTGCCACTTGACCTTTTTTTTTTGCCTGTAAAATTGTTCTTCTGTGTGGGTCTAGTGTTTTCTAGTATTCTGTGCATAGGTCTGTGCTAGGCACTATGGGGGTGCCACAGTTGGAAGCATCCTTGTCTGCGGGAATCAAACTGTGACCCATGGGCCAAATCTGGGCTGCTGCCTGTTTCTGTAAAGTCTTATTGGAGCACAGCCACACCCATTTGTTTACTTATTGTCTATGACTGCTTTCATACTAGCAGAGTTGAGTGGTTTAACAAAGACTATGCCATCCACAAAACTGCACTACTTACTACGTGTCACTTCTCAGAAGACATTTGCTGAGCCCTGTCTTATACAGTGGCAAGAGGCAATGATCGCTCATAAACACTGCCATTTTTCTTACTGCTATTTAACACCACTCCTTTTTCTGCCTTATCTTTCATTACTCTTCTTTTTCCTCTTCCACTTGCCTGATTTCCAAAGTGTCTCCTTTCCGCAGTGTCCTTCACTATTCTTGCCTCACTATTGTTCCTGGCCTGTTATTTTATGTCTGTTTTCCTCCTCTTCACAGGCTTTTGCTCTACCATCCTTGCTCATCTCTTCCCACCTCTCACTTGTCTCCTGCTTTTCATGTGCACCTCCTCGGAACTTGGCCCGGGTCACTGTTCAGAGCAGCTTTCTCTTACTCCAGCACAATCTTGTGTTAATTTCCTTCTTTAGATTTCAGTCTGCTGAGCAGGGCTCATAGTTAACTGGTAAGGAAAGGTTGCCTGTAGGAATCGTTCTTCATGTAGTTGGTTGACTGTCTGTCTTGTTTGGTCAGATTGAAGACCATTCCTGACATGAGATCACCTGCCTCAACCAGCCAGACAGCTCAAAGTTTAGAAATGCTGTCCAGATACCTTTTTCTTAGGGACTCCATTGGTCCCTGTTTGTGGACTCAGCCTCTGCTGAGTTTTAACAAGGCTCCTACTGTTTTTAACAGCATTCTGAGGCAGCGTCTAGAATTCAGAAATTAAGTCCATTCAAAATGAGGATGGGTGTGTGTGCTGGGTGGTGCCTTTCTTCCCACAAAGTAATGTGTTTTGAATCTAAGACATTTGTGGTCAAATGTTTCTCAGAAGCATGTACCACTGGTTGCTAAAGACTTTCTTACGCAATGCTTCAGGACAAAAAAAAAATCAAAACTGGGTAGTTTGCAGTCATTTTAAAATAATTACCAGAGATATACCAAACTTTGTCATAGCACTCACCTTTGATACCAGAGTGACAAGAGGCCTTATATTGCAGGGTCGCCAACCAACAAGCCAGCCATGCTTGCATTGAGAGGAAAGGGACCTAGAACATAGCAGCCTCAAACTTTACCTGGCTTTAGTGAATGCTACTTAAAATATATTTCAGGGGCAAAGACTTTGATTGCATTTGAGTAGAATTTGAAATTAGTCACTCTAATTAGTTTTCTTTCCCTTTTAAACATTTTTTTAAAAAACCTTTGCCCCCTTTTCTCAACCCTAAGTTGTAAGTAAGTATGGTGATTCTGATTTCTATATATTTCTGAAGCTTCTGGACAAACCGTATAATCACTGTATCTAACAGAAAAGCCACAAATTTAATATGAATAAAAGAGAAGGAGCTCTAGCCAGTGTGTAAGAGACATTTTTGGTTGATCCTGCAGCTTCTCTTATTTTCTTCCTGTTAGCCTTCCTTTTGGTTTGGGGATCCAGTGGGTTCACAGAATCTGATTTTGGGGGTGAGGCAGGTGACCCAGATCAGCATATTTGACTCCTTGGTCATTGTGATTGGTTCTGGGTGGATGTGTGACTAAGCAGATCCAGTTAGAGGGAATCTCAAGACCTTTGCTTAGAATTCCAGACCAAGTACCTCCTCTTTTTCCTGGTGATGTGAATGAGTAAGCACATAGCCTAAGAACCTGTCTGTACCCTACTTAGAACCACCAAGATGTTGGGCAGAGACTAGTCAAAAGGGAACTAGGTACTCAGTGACATTGTTGAGCTGCTGGACCAAGCCTCACCTGCAGCCTCTGGAATTTACAGTTATATAAGCCAATAAATTCTTTTACTTGGTCAAGTC